CCCTGGCAGCATCTCCCACGCTCAAGCAGCGCTGACTGTAGGATGCATGCTCTGCCCTGCCCCCCCGCCCCCCCAGCAGCACGAGCTCCCCATGAGTGGCAGCCGCAGTGATGCTCTCCTTCCTTCGGTGCACTTGGGCAGGGGGACAGGGGAGTCCGGCGTGGGGTTTGTCTCCCCTGCCAGTTCTGCCAGGCAGGTTGGGTTGGGCAGGCGTCACCAGGACTGTCACCCTTTTCCCCCCGTGCCCAGAGCCTCTCCCTAGCTCAGCCCCCGACGCTGCTGCGTGCACCCTGCTATCGGGGGAACGGGCCCAGAGAGGCTCCATGGCTTGTGTGGCTGAGCAGGGGAGAGGTCGGCTGCCCGCCTTCCCCACGTGGTGGGGGGAGCCAAGATGTTTGGGGATCGTGAGGTTGTGGTAGCCATCCCCTGGGTGTAGGTTTCTGGAGGCTGGCGCGCCCAGCCCGGCGGGCAAAAGGTGGGTGCTGCTGTGGGGTCTGGTGCCAGCTGTTGCTGCAGAGCTGCTTCGTGCCCGTGGGGTTCAGAAAGGGCCCCGTGCCCAGCCGGGGGTCTCCTGCCTGCGTGGGGCCACGGCTGCTGAATACTGACTCGAGCTGACGCCACAGAGCGCAGGCCAAGCCTGCTGTGGTCCCTGTGTCTGCAGAGCAGCTTGTGCCTTGTGCCTCTGCTGCCTCTGAGGCATGGCCCAGGGCTGGAGCTGGTGGAGCCTGCTCCTTTGTGGCAGCGGCAGCCCAGGCGCTTTCAGCTCGTTGCCCCTGACTCTGGAGCCATGAAATGACTGCCGTCTTTGCCAAGTTGCACCCCAGGCGCTTCCCTGGCGGCTCTGGTGGAAACCCCCAGCTGTCTCTGCTCTGCGCTGCTCTGACAGTCCTGCCTGTCTGAGTGCATTGGTCTCCAAGGTGCTGCCCAGCCCTGACCGCAGACCCGTGCGGCTGCATCCTCTCCCCCTTTCCCTCTTCCCTCGCAGTGCACTGTGACCAGCATAGCTCCTCTCTGACCTGCTCGGCGCCTTGCTCAGGATGCTGAGGGGCAGAGGTCGCCAGCCACAGCACTTCCTGGCCTGTGGGCCCCGGGCTCCCTTCTGCCCTCCTCATGCCTGCACGATGGCCCTGGCTGAGCTCCTCTACAGAGCATGCCTCGCAGTGGAGTTGGGGATAGGCCTGTGCTGCCGATACCCATGCTGGGGTCTGGCTGATACCTGCCCTGATGGTCCCCAGCGTGCACACGGGCATGCTGCCTGCAGCCTGTCCATCACAGCATTTGCTGCCTGTGCTAGGCCCTGCACAACTGTGACATGGTGCCTGGGGACACAAGCAGGAACTGCTCTGTGCTGTAGCCAGTAGCACCGTGCTGACCCACATTATGGCTGGGCCAGATCTTGCACAGGATCAGGCCCGCAGACCTCAGTGTGCCTGTGCACAGCTGCTGGTTGTTATCCTGCACTGCGGGAGGGGAGCTCAGGCTCCAGCATCATGTCTGATGGGACCCGAGGGAGCAGGCGCAAGCCCGTGTGTCTGCAGTGACTGCCACTGCCACCGTCATGTGGGTCTGCCTTTTGCCTCTCTGACTGCCCCTCTCTGCCTTCCAGAAATCCACCGCATGATCCAGGTGGACTTGGACCTGAAGTACAAGGCCAACATCCGGGACCTGTTTGAGGAGTTTGACAAGTTCCCGCCGGGAGCCGTCATCGGGATAGCCCGGGAGATGCAGCCGGTGTACAGGTGGGCAGCTGGCGTGGCGAGGGGAGTGGCTGGCTCCTGCTTGCTGCCCACATGGGGACTGACTTGGTAACTCAGGGTGGGGATAGCTGCTCTCCTGACAGCAGCTCGGCCTTGTGTGTGCTCAGATCCTTGTGTTGGTGTGAGTGGAGCTGTGCCATGTCGTGTTGTTCTCTGACGCGTTGCTCTGGCGGCGCTCAAGGAGCCCGGGACGGTTTCAGCGGCTTTAGAGGGAGATAGAAGTGGTGCATCAGTGATGCATTTGACACGCGGCGGCTCCCAGCAGTCAGCTGTCCCTGGGCTGTGTCCTGTTGCTGTTTGAGCATGAGGGCGAGCAGGGCTGAGACGTCCTCAGCCCTACATCAAGAACCAGCGTGGAGATGGGCTCCAAGCGTCCGGCCCTTGTGGCAGCAAATGCAGGATGAACCTGTGCCGCGGGGGTGTCGGCATACACCCGCTCTCGCACAACCACAGGCTTGCCAGGCCTCTGGGAGTTGGGGGCATGGTCTGCTGTGGAATTTGGGACCCTTTGGCCCTGCTCGCTGTGGCCATTGACAGTGAGCCTGTCTTGCTGTGACTGCCCCTGGACTCCTCCCCCGGGACCCATTGCTGCCGTCCTCACGGTGCCCCAGGTGGGACCTGGCATACCAGGAGCCTGTGGCCTGCATCCAGCCCACGGCCCCAGTGAGTTTGCCCCTGCTGCCCAGGACCCCTGGGTGCGGATGATCTTGGGGGGGCGCCCCAAGTCCCCACGTGCTGCTGCCCTTGAGCCTCACCCTCCTCTGCCCTTTGGTGTCCAGCTGCTTCTGCCAGCACCCGGGTGTGTGCTCAGGCCTCCCCTCCTCGTCCCCTGGGGCCAGGCAGAGCAGGTGCATGTTTGGCCTCTTGTTAATGAGGCCTCCCTGCCTCACCAGGCCCCACTTGCTCCCTCCTCCTACTGCAGCTCTGCTCTTTGTTTGTGAAGCTGCAGCTCTCCGATCATGTCCAGCCAGGAGGCAGGCATTGGGGCGGGCACGCTGGGCCGGGCTGCCCGGGTGTAGATGCTGACGGGAAACAGGATAGCGAGAGTGGAGCAGAGCGGAAGCACCCCCAAGCCTGCTCTCACATCCTGCAGCGCGAGGGGAAAAACCTCTGCACAGCAAAACAGGATGGCACCGCGGCGTTCCCATTCGCTTGACTCATGCTGAAACAATGCCCGGCCGGTGTTTATCTTGGAGAGCAGAGGCCCCTGTGCACGAGTCTCCTGCTCTGGACAGTGGGGCTGGGCTGAGTGGCTGCCTGCAGCAGCCCAGGGGCAGGGAGCAGTGCGCATGGTCCGTGCCCTGCCAGGGCCCTTGCATGCACTGGGGCAGGAGGTGCGCCGGAGTCGTGCATTCGCGCTCGTGTCCAAGTGCTGTCACCATTGCCTGTGCAGGCTCCGTTTAGGCACTGGGCTGAACAATACAAACCGCGTTACCTGTCACAGCCCCGGACCAGCCCCGCATGAGGGAAGGGGCGTGGGGAGCCCGTGGGGTCCTTCATGCAGGCGGGAGGTGCTTTGCAGGCCCGCGTGTGCTGTGCTGCCTCTTTTCTCTGCGGCCCTGCTCTGCGTTGCTCCGGCTGCAGTGGGTGGACTGTTCCTTCCTTGCATGGTTTCCGTTAGCTTGTTTTCTTCCATAGCAGCAGTGTTAAACACATGGCCGTGGACCGGATCCAGCCCGTGGAGCCCTGCCAGCTGGTCCTCAGTACTGCTCCAGGTCTGGGCAGACCCTTATGGGGCACGGCACGTGGCAGACCAGCCCAAGGGCAGGGCCTAGGACACATGCTGCACGGTGCCCACTCGGGGACTGTTTTGCATGGGCTGGCGCATGTGACACAGATCCCAGACTGGCCAGAGCGGGTGCTGCCCTGTATGCAGTGTCTGCCCAGTCGGGTGGCACGCGCAGTTGCCTTCTCCCACTCTTCTTTGTGCAACAGATGTCATGGGGGGTTTTAAGCCTCCCCCCAAGATGCTGGGTGCTGGCTGCAGCCCTGGCTAGGGATGGGGATGGGCTGTGCCAATGCTCCTGCTGGGACTTAAACCCAGAGGTTCCTGGCTAGAGGGTCTTGCCCCCCTGCTCAGGCTCAGACTGATGCCAGATTTGGGGTCAGGAAGGAATTTCCCCCCTGGTCAGGTAAGTATGGACTAGTGGGGTTTTGCCTTTCTCTGCAGCAGGGGCATGGCCTCTGCCTTGAGTGTATATTAACACCCTTTACAGCAGTAGGACGTTGGCAGCCACGGTCCCCCTGCTTTCCCTGGTGCGACGTCTGTCATCTCAGGGTTGACAAGTGTTTTACTAAGTTTACATGATGGATTGCGCAGCACAGTTTGGGCAGGGCTGATTCTGCCTCAAGCAGGGGCAGGACTAGATGCGACTTCCGCAGGTCCCTGCCAGCCAGTATCTCCATGCCTCTCTGACAACATCCTTGTCACAGAGCCAAGGCGCTGGGCTTCCTGCCCCCTTGGAACAGACACAGGTGGCATGGGGCCCCATGGCAAGGTAAGGGACAAGGCAGGTCGTGGGAAAAGCCTGACCCTGCATGGTGCTGGGCACCCTCCGTGGCCCTGACCTTCTTCCTTCCTGGAGCAGGGTGGGAGTTGGAGGCACTTACTGCCTTCGTGGGACTGCACCTGGGCTGCCCAGCCCATGGCCTGATGCTGCAGCCCCAGACCCTTGGTCCCATCATGCAGGTGTGTTGCGAGCACTTGCATGGTTTGCGGGGGGCCCTTGCGGACCAGCCGGTGAGCTGGCTGCATAGATACACGTGCAGCACTGGGTGGGGGCCGGGCAGTCCCTGCCTGAGCACAGGGGACTCTGGCAGCCAGAGCCGACTCGGTGCCCTGAGCTGGCACCAGCAGGGGGAGCGTCCGTGCAGCGAACCTCTCTGCAGAGCCGTACTGGTGGCTCGGTGCAGCAGCGCCTGTCCGTAGCATTTCTGCAGGGCAGGCGTCCTGCGTCTGTCCTGCGTGCTGGGCTGCAGGGCAGGATGGGGTCCCGTGAGCACTTACCTGCTGCACCAGTTGTCAGCCAGCCCTGAACCACCGTGCAGGGCTGTGTTGCTCATGGAGATGGTGGGGACTGGACCCCACCTCAGGGCACCCTTGCAGCCCAGGCCCGTGCTCCCTTTCTGGGGTTGGACGTGGACCCTGCCTCCGTGCTGCCGGGGTGAGACTCCGTCTCTGTGCAGCCCACCTGGGTGCCACGGGGCGCCCCGGCTCCTGCCATGTTGGGCCCTTCTGTTGTGTGGGCAGGACACATGGGCACATGGAGGCCCCCGCTCCCTCGCCTCCTCTCACTCCACAGCTTCACCCCTTCCCGCTCAATCTGGCGCCTTGCACCACCTCCCCCTCCTGCTGTGTCCGCGTCCCGGGGGCCCTGCCTCAGTGCTTCGCCCTGCCAGACTGCTGGCTTTTCCACCTGGTGCCTGGGGGCACAGCCAGCTCCTCTGCAGCCACGGGGGGTGTCTGCCAGGGGTCCTGCAGCATCCTCTGGCCCGGCTTCCCGGCCACGACCCTCCTCCCTGAGCCCTGCTCACATCCCAGCAGCAGGAGAGGTCCTCTGGAAGCATTCACCACATCAGGATGAGCCATAGGGGATTTGGCATGCCCTGAGAGCAGCCTGCTGAGAGCCACTGTCGTTGGCACCCGGGGTCACAGCTTCCATAGTTTCTAGGGTCGGAAGGGACCTGAGCAGATCATCAGGTCCCTTCTGTCGGGGAGCAGACCAGAGCTCTTGCATCCTCTGCTCCTGCACAGGGTGCATTATTTGGAGAATGGGCCTTGCCCACGTCCCAGAGGCCCTGCCACAGCCGACGGCCTGTGTGTGTGCATTGCTCGTCGCTCGTGAGCGAGAGCTCTTTGCAGACCTGATGCCTGCAGTCTCTCTGGACCCCCTCAGGGCCCTCTGCCCACGGCTGGTGCAGAGTTGGAGAGGGGGATGCCGGGAGAGCGTGGCACAGCCACGGGCAGCCCTTGGCATGTGGAGCTGTGTGGGGAGGGGTCAGGGTCAGTCCTGTCTGACAAGTAGGGATGCAAGCTGTGTTGTCTGTGTGGCCAGCACACGGCCCAGCTGCCGGGGGGGCGGGTGAACTCTTCCCCACCTCCACATCCGGCTTCATGGCCTGGGCTGCGTTGGGCAGCTGCCTCCTCTCACTGTCCCTTCCCAGCAGACGAGCAAGGGAAGGCGCAGGCTTGGTGCTGCAGCTGGTGTCCATCTCCCTCTGTCTGCACTGAGCTTGTTGCAGCTGGGCTGTGCCGGGCTGGCCAAGGCCCCTCGGGGCAGGGCTGTGGAGGAGCGGGGACTGAGAGGCTCCTGGACCGTGTCCACGTGCGATGGTAACCAGTGCCACCTAGACCCGGGTCTTGAGCAGCCTTCGATGCACTGGCCAGTGGCTCCCATCGTGGCTGGTTCCTGGCAGCCGAGCTGTAGCTGCTCAGAGTCAGCGCGTCGCACGCACGGCAGGGAGAGTCTCGCCTGGGTGCGGAGCGGAGGGTGCGTGGCTGTGGCCAGGAGGGCCCTGGGGCAGCTGCACTGTCTCTCTGCCTCTGACAAGACATTGCTGCGAGCTGCTGCTGAGGTCGGGGAGCTGCTCGTTTCCTGCGTTTCAGCTGGGCTGGTGCTGTTGTTTTCCAGGCGGACAGGACTGGGGGCTCAAAGGCTGCACACGTGAGGCCAGTGGGCCAGAAGAAGGTGCAGAGGGCTGAGCAGTGCCATACGGGCCTGGTGGACCCCGTGCCGGCAGTGCTGATGCATTTGGTGCTAGCTCATCGTCATCAGCTTTCCCTGCTCCTGGCCGGCTTGCTGCTGGGGACGGGCCTCCTCAAGCCACGGGGAGCAGGAGCTGAGCGCCACGTGGTCTTCCCGCGCTGGGGACAGGAATCCGCCTTGCAGGAGCACCGCAGCAGGCACAGAGCGCTGCTGTTCTGTGCAGCGGGGACCTGGTTCTAGGAACTCGGCAGTAATTGCTGCCTGGAAGCCTTTGGT